TTGCTTTTTTTTCCCTCTCCTTATTTATTTTTGCCTCTATAAATCATAGATAATAATAGTTCCCACATCATAGCTTGTTAGATTTTAATGACAGCCTCCAAGGACAGGTGCCAGTTAAATGAAACATATAATTAAAATTTGTGCTATTCTAAAATTGGGTTACTTGGCAATAGTCAAATCAGAGACTACCCCCTTCCAGATGATAGGCATGTGGTAGTTATCCGGGTTACCGGGTGTGCAGCAGATGCAATCAAGGACAGCCTTTGCTAGGTGCCAAAAATGTGATGGAATGTTAGTTCGGCACACCCGTATTTCAGGTGCTTCTCCTTGGCACCTGAGTAAGCTTGCATTCTGCAGCTTGGAACTTTGGCAACACCGTTCTTGTTCTAAACAATTTGTGTAAAAGCTTATGTGTTTACCAAGCAATTAATTTAGGTATGCATATATGTATATGTACATAAATGCAATGATCATACTTATGTAATAAGCAGGACGTTTATGAGGCTTTTCTTTGAAGTTCGGTACTTCCTCAATTAGAAATAGAAAGACATGGTCTCATTCTCGGTGCTGGTCTTGGAGATTGACATCATCTTGTTGGACCCATGCTTGCCCTTTCAAGCTTGGTATCATATTTCTGTAGAGTTTCTCCTGGAGTACCCTCTCCTGCAGAGAACCCTTTTGCACTCAAGAGCTAGCTGTCTGCCTGTTACTGTCCCTGTTAATTCTACTCTGCTCACTCTTCAACCTTTCATTGATTTCTATCTCTGTAGATTTGCTGTTTGTGCCCTGAGCCACACTGCTAAGGGAGATACCTATCTCTATCGAGTCACGATCTTTTCATCTATAGCACTCGACTCGGCATCCTGCATGAATTCGCTCTGGGCTCTGGTTCTTTCGGCCAAACTAACCACTCAGATACATTCTTGTCTTTCACTCTCTTCCACTCTTGGACTTCTTGGGTCCATCTACTCTTGGGTCGTCAATCTGTATGTTTTAAGTGGTCCTTGGACAAGGTCTTCTTTGCCTGCCCAGTGTCTCTCTGGCTATATGATTTTATTGATAAGTCTTCTGTGTGACCTGGCTATGCTCCTTGGTAACATGCTCACTGGAAGACACACCAGCTAGACACAACTCTGTTCTGTTATTGAACCTTGGAGTCACAATGTTGCCTCTGGCTTGTCTTAAGCCTCAGCCTCTGCAAATCGGCAGTCAAACAGGGACAATTTCTGTTCCCAAACCAAATGTCCCTCTCAAGGCTATTCTGCTAGGAAATGTGCTCCTTCTCCACGTGCCTCTGTTCAGTTTCAAATCTTTTCCTTCTCCCATATCTTTGAAACACCAAGAAAAAAATTCGGGTTGCTACAATTCAAGCAGAAACAGCTTCATTTTTATTTATTTTTTTTTTTTGGAGAGATTTTCACTGTAGGGCTCGTGCGCTCGCCAGACAGACAGAGAGAGACATAGAGACGGAAAGCGAGAAATCACCCCCCAGGGGGGATGGTCACGCCGCAAATCCTTCTCCTCCATTCTCCTCTCGGGATCTTGGGCACGCACGCACACGCGCCCGGCGTGAGTTTTAAGTCACCGGGTCCGGGACGTGAACCGCTGTCGACCACGTGGGAGTCCAGCGACATAGCCATTACGCTAACTGCTGATTCCCCTTCATTTTTATTTTTTATTTCTTTACTTTGAAGAATTGTTTGTTTATTTTTATCAATTATTATTACTATTGTTATTTAATTTGACCAGAGAGAGACAGACAGAGAAAGAGAGATGGCAAGAGATCAAGCTGCAAGTCCAGCACTAGAACCAGGTCCCTCTTCTATGTGGGAGTCCAGTGCCTTAACCACACCACCTGCTGGCCCCAACCTTCATTTTTAAATTGTTTAAATGCTTAGTCTTTCCTGCTCACCATGTGTGGGTTTCACTCTAACAATGTGCTATACAGAAATTTGGTTGTACATTTTATTTGACTTTCCTTTTGATAAATTTGGCTTTAAAAAAAATCTGTAAGAAAAAAGCATAAATCATTAGGAAAGCATTCAAGGTAGATTAATTGCTTATCAAGTTTTCATTCTCTCTTCAAACCATATTGAGCCACTTGTTTTACATGAATTCCAAAGACTGGCACTAGCTTTCACTTCAGGAAATAAATGACATAGGGTATTATATTTTAAGGACCATTAAAACCTTGAAATCGCACAGTGACTTAGAAAACAAGTTATTTAGGATGGATAGCTTTGTAATGGTTATACAATGGAAAAAATTCATCATGAAATGACCCTCCCACTCTTATTTCACTTATAATGCATGGCAGAAAAATAAGAATAGTACCCAGGTACACAAAGTGTAATGTAAATGGTATAGTAATATTATGAGTCCATGTACCAAAAAAAAAAAAATAGAATGTATTCAATCTTCCTGGGGAATTCTGTGCTAACACCCTTGGCTAGTGATTAGAAACTATTTCTGGACTGAAGGGGTTAGTTCCTTGCTGTTGTCATAACTGCAAAGTTCTGTAATCTGTTACTGAATTTTCTCTGATCTATATTTTAATTTTTGAGGTAAACAACGGAATGTAGTTGTAATATTGTTAACGAAATGATTTTAATGTAAATGACTTAGGAATTATATTAAGTAGCATTTGAATCTGATGTTCTGTTGCCTAATTTATCTTCTAACCTTTTCTTTTACACCTTCATTAGAACATCTATTAAGGTGATAAAACCTAGCGGCCAGATTAAAGGCAGAATGTGACAAGTTCTAAAATAACAAGATTGATAATATAGAGAATTCTTTTGAGCAGAATTTTAAACCAACAACAATTAAAAAACAACAAACTCCACCTGTTTTTATGATGAAACTCAAGCAGCATTTGAGTCTATAAAGAAGCCATAATTGCTTAACTAACTAAAGTGATACAGTTCATTATTTTTCTACTGCTCATTTATGTAGTTTTCCCCCCTGAAGCACACGCATAATTTGGTTTTTTTTTAAAATATGATTTACATATGGCACTTAAAGAAAGATGTTTTAGAAACCCACGTTGTGCTCTTTCTTGTAAAAGCAATGTCCTTTCTTGTTAACGCCAAGGATGCTTTTCCCCAAACACTCATTTCCTGCTCAAGACAGTGTAGCCGCTAATGAGGAAAACGCGGCAAGTATCTCAGTTGAATGTTTTCTTTTGTTTATCTACAGGGAGTTCATCCTGCAATGGGAAAGATCCCTCAGTATCAATGAGTCTGAAAGTGCTCAAATTCTGCCAAGAGGAAAGTTATAAAGCTTTGTGCAGCCACAGTTTAAATTAATCGAAAGCAATGCAAAAGAAACTCTATCATCCCAAAGAACACCAACTGCACGGCTTCCAGTGTCACTGTTTGTAAAATACATTCCGTCTCATTTACATGAGTTCCGTTTCCAGTTACAGGGTCACTGGTTGGCAATTGCAGGAGCTGTTTGTCTAAAATGACAAAGTCTGATAATGGCACTTGCCACTTGTTACAGGTAGAAGATGTTTTTCAGCCTGCTGGGGTTTCCAGGATAGTTCCAGTTACTGGCAATCAAATCTTGAAAATTACTCCATGCCCAATAATAATGAGCACCTCCAGATGGGTTTTTTTTTTAAGACAGCATTAATTCAGAATATAAATTAAGAGAATGCGTTTGATGGTAAAAAAGTACAAACTTACCCACACATTTTGGTTTCATGTATAAAATATAAACAGCATGTGAACTCTCCCTTGTGTCTTCAGAGAGAGCTGCAGCTTTTTATTCCTTCTGAAGAGTGTTCAAAATATACTTGTTTAAACATAATAATCCATAAATAAAATACAGTGCCTGCCAAAATTATTTTTCCACCCACATATAGGGCCTTTAGACACTATTCTGAACTCTGATTTTCTCCTGAGATGCAATTTAAGGACTTAAAAAGTCTTTAAAAGACTTCGTATGAAATATACAGGATTAAAAAAAATTGTGCTTCTATATAGTCAAATTGTACTGTTGTTATAAATACTGTATATAAAATTACCAGATTGCCTGACATTCCATTTTTACAGGGGATACTGCATCATTAAGCATCGAAAGAATATAACTATTCAAACTGCTTAAAATATTTGGTAACCATAAATTATTATCCAAAAATATTTTTCAAGTAGATAAAAAGAGTTGTCAATTCTGCATAGTGAATGCCTCATAAGGGGCTCGTTTGTGGTTGAAAACTGAATAAAAGCAGTAAATTAAGACCAGACTTCACCATAGAGAAGCTGTAATCCACAGCAGATTTCCTTGGTGAATGAAGTATTGTTGTGTGGATTTATCCTCCTTGCTTGTACAGTTAACCAGTCACATCTGTAGCCAAAGTGCCGTCTGTGCTCACAGACAAGGTGGGTTTGCTAACCCCAAGGAGGTAAGCCCGTGCTGATTTACATTGTATTGATAAGTAAAAAATAAACACACTGTGTCAGGGGGCTGCCTGTGAAAGGGCAGATAGTACCTTGAAGGTTATAACTATTGTTAAGAGAGGAGAGTGGGCCCTTAGGAAACTGCCAGTGACACTGAGTGTCCAGGTTTCTGATAGGCTTGCTGCTAGAGGAAGGAGCCTTGAAGAAGCCACGTGAACTGTGGGTATGAGAAAAGGTCGGGAGCAGCTGGAGTTTCTGAGTGCAGTCAGTGCGGAGGGCGGACAGAAATATGGAATACGTTAAAGGAACATCACTCACTATAAATATTCAATGTCAAGAATTTAAATAGTTTACAGACATAGAAGCCCTTGATGATTATTTTATCCAGCATTGTTGATTTTCCTCTGTTGTTTGTCAAAAGCCACCATAATTAATGAATAAGACGCAGGAAGTCTTGACAATGAGTCGGTTCAGTCTTAAGTCTGCATATTTTTCTTTGTGATTACATGCCAATAAAGTAACTGATTTCTCTTTTTGAGAATTAAACTAAAAGGACACAAATAAGTCATACCTCTGCTGTTTTTTTTTTTTTTATAGAGTCCAGTGTTTCCAAAGGACATTAATTTTGATGTCTCTGATGAAGGCTTGTGGCTGCCCCTCATGCTTTACAAAATATGACCAAGTCAGAGCTGAAAAGAAAACCGTAAGTGAACATTATTTCAAAACAGTTATTTCTGATTATTTAGGAAACAATTTATCAGAATTCTCTGAAATTCATCCCAAAATGTACATTTGGTAGGAAATGTGAAAAATACCCTTTAGTCCTGTGGAGTATAGATATTAAAAAATTTTAAGCATCCAACACTTTTCTAAATATGATTTTATTTTATAAATAAGATCAGCTTCATAGGAGAGAAAAAATTTTCTTAAACTTAAGCAGGTATTTGTACCTTCATGTTATAGCAAAATGCATGTAACATATGGGTCACTAGCTCATTCGGGTGTTTGAAACCTTCAGCTCAAAAATTTTTTCCTGCAATTTTCCTGGATTGGAATGTCACTTTTCTGTAAGAGGGAAAATATTTAGGCTAATTAAATCTTTATCAGATTCAGCAGCTCTACTAAAGTGTAAACTAGGTTATCTACTGAAGAAAGGGCCAGTGGGACTTGAAGTAATGTGGATCTCTTTACATTTGTATTACTATTTTACATTTGTAAAATAAAAAAAGAAAAGTTCTTCCAAATATATGCTCTATATGATTTGATTCCTAAAGAATAACATTTATAATTACTATCTCCACTTAATTAAGGATAACCATGACTTGATTATACTCATTGCATCTTTTCAAAGGTGGCTTTCTGAGAAAGCACAATCTCAAAAATCTCTCCTAGTATAAAACATGTGTTCTAGCGATACTTCTGGAGTTTTAGAAGTTTTTTTCTTCCAGTTAGTGGAAAGGGGTGCCATGCTAGTTGTGTATAGGTTTATCTCAAATTGTCTGCAAATACGATATGAGGACCTGAACCTAACGAAAATGTTTTTCCAAACCAAATACAGTGTTTACGTCACCCTTCCCACCTCCAATCACACCCATAGCCACACAAACACATTCACAGACCTCGGAAGTCAAGGGGAAAAATCTTTACTAGAAACTGTCATGAGCAGCAAATTAATGCTTTGGTCCTTTGGAGTTATATTTTTGAAAATAGTTGTAGCTTAATCAAAATAACCATTTATTTTTATATGTTTACATGCCTTCTGTGTATTGCAACAATTTAATAAAGTAAGAAGACTTTCCCTTGAGAGAAAACGTGCTCATTAGCGTTTGTTAACGTCGCCTAGCACGTTCCTTACGTGCTGGGAAAAGGTTAGGATCCACTCACTGTAAGCGTGAAGGTCATAGGTGAGATTCTCTTTGTTGCAAGTGCTGAGAAATAATCATTTAAAGGTCAGTTGCACTCAAAAAAAGAACATTTGTTTAATAAGTAACTCATTTTGGGATATGCTGCACTTTTAAAGGTTACAGGATAGACCATTTTGCCAGTGATGTCAGCAAGAAGTACTATTAAAGTCATTGGTCCTGTTAAAACAATCCTTGGTAAAATTCAGATGGTACGCCTTCTTGCATAACCCACCACACTACAAAAAAGTGCCTAAACTATTTACAGCGTGGTTTCATTGCCTTGTGCACTTTACCTTAAGTACTCGGTTCCTCTTAAAAGCAACAATGGAGTGTTAGATGGAAATACACATCAGTCTATGTGTGTGCGTGCGTGTGTGCACACACACACGCACACACACACACACACACTCCCTCTCTCATGTCTGATGCATTGTATTTCACTTCATTCTTTCCATTTTATTAATTTATAAGAACATGCCCATTTGTCATGGGTTATAGGATTTCTCACTGGATATCCTGTTGTACTGTACACCAAGAACTGCCTTGCTGGAAACTCATATATAAGAAACTATTGATTTATAACTTTCTCCTCCCTCTCCTCCCCAACTCTCTCTTAGAAAAGCAAAAGAGAATTTGTTTTGGCAATAAAATGGAATACTAATCTGATCTGTAGACAAAAGAGAAGTAACAATACTTGTAACACAGGCAAAACTCTTTCAGTACCTAAAGGGCTATTTTTCAAGCTCTGAATAAAGGTGGTAGTTTATTTAATATGATTTTTGTACTATTAACATTTTTGCCTTTAGGGATCCAGTACACAACAAATAAAAGTTGTTTTGCTGTTTTTACATTGAGCCTTTTATTTTTTCTAGAAGACTAGCTCTTTGCTTGAGATGAGTATATGAATAAAATAACTTCAAGGAAAACTTCTGTAGAAAGCAATCCCTTCTCAACACTTAATTGTGTAAGATTTACATTTATTATTTTACTCTTCACATCAGTTACAAAGCTCCCCCATTATGATATTTTATTGATGGTAAAGAGTGAGCTACTAGATTTTTATAACGAGTTGATTTTTAACATATGCTGAGTAAGAAATTTAATTACAACTTGAAAACAATACACTGTCGAGAACTTCTAAGATTCACTGTTTAGATTAAAGGAACTACTGAGCTTATAACTCTTACCCTATTGTAAAATAAGACCTATCTTTATGTCTCTAAGACATTTGCAATTAGAAGAAAATACAGCACTCTTATTTCAAGTAACTTAGCTAAAAATCAAGTTATTCTCTTAATTTAACTTGCTTTTCATTTGAAAGAGGGCAAAATCTATTTCCTGGGCAATTTTGCAGAGCAAAGATATTAATACTTTGGGGTTTAATTGTATCCTGTGTTTAAATACACTATGGGTGAAACCCCAGACCTCTGCTTAATTGCTGTGAGAAAATAGCCTGATTTCTCTGAGATTAGGCACACGCTTATGTATACTTTGACCTAAGAGTGCCTCCTTCAGAATTAATCTTCTAAGGTAGAGGGATTTCCTTTTATATGTGCAGCAGGGCCATTCGTGACAAACGGAGCCTAATAAACTAACTTCACCCTCCAGACCTTGCTTTTGCTGTCAATGTTTTTCTTCATCTATTCATTTCACACATCCCTTGTCCAGTGGCTTATTAGCAAATAACCCTAAAATGGGTAGGGGGAATCATTTTAATGGTATTTTTTAATTAGAGTACTTTGAAATTTAAATTGGATACTTCAAAAATAAAACTATTTTAAAAACTTTCAATTTTCTTGTGAGACATGAAATATTCTGAAATAACTCCACTTAAGTACATACCATAGCCCTCTGAAAAGACAAACAATTCATATTTACTTAAAATTTTGTTCTGCAGCTGTATTTTGTTGGATCCGTCTAATGTATGAAAGCACTTTTTCTTTCCCATCGGCTACATCAGAATTGTTTTTGTAAGATGTAACAGAATGTTCTGGTTTTAAAATATTTATATTAATCAAAGTTAGGGCTGTTTATATTTTTTGGCAATAGGGCTTTTCTTTAAAAGTGATGCACTTCCATTTAACTAAACAAAAGTGTTGAAATGGCCTGTCATATAAACTTCAACATGGTGCAGTTGGTAATAGAAATTTTGAAGACAGGAAGAAAGGGGAGCTAGTTTCTAGGCTTCAGGTTAAACATGGATTAGTAAAAAAGTACAACATTGGTCATTTCCAAGATTTTCCTGAGGAAATGTCCTTCATTGCCACTTAAAATCTCTAGTTACCTGTGGAAAGGGTGTGTTCAAGCTTCTTACTCTATTTTCTTGGGTCTTGGAAAGTCAAGTCTAAGAGCTGGCTGAGAAATGATGACACATCACTGCCATGGGGGCCTTACTAAATCATTCTATTAATTTAAAAATTTCTTTCTATTTTATATATCTCTAAATTATTTCAATAAGAATAAAAATACCTACATGGTTTTACTAACAATCTCCTGTATTTGTGGCCAGAAATAGCACCAACTAAAGTGTTTTTTTTTGGAGGTCAAGTCTCCAGTCATTGTTACTGCTTACAGGCTGTGACTCCTGAATACTGTCATATGGTCTATCTGGATTGTCATAAGGGCAATGGAATCTTTATCACAGATATTTTAAACAGCAAGTCAACCTTAAATAAATTCATTTATAGTGATCACATAAGTATTTTCTAGTATGGATGAGTCCAAATTTTTTGGAAGTTTAATAAGATTTTTGTTGTTACTCTGATTTTCATTTGGTAGTTCGAACTGCTTTGGTTCACTTTCTATGAAAAATAATCCTGAACAGGAAGGGTGGGGACTGGACTTAGTCCCTAATATGGAAGTTATAAATGTTTTTTTTCTTCGTAGAGATAGCAAGCATGTATCAAACAAACAGGATGTAATATTATGCATTGCAGGCAGAAGGGCTGAAGGTCTCCTGTTCGAACTTTTGCCCCTTCTAGAATCCCTGATCCTTCATTATTTTGTTTAACTCCATGTAAGTCTTGACCAGTAGCTAGCTGACTCTGAGGAAACATTTCCTGACATCATTTTCAGAGGTGATGGGGGATTATTGTGCTTGCCTTTACATTTTGGGTTGAGAATGAAAAGTATGACTGTGGTTCCTGGTTAATATTTCATGTATGGTATTTTAATTACCAGGTCAGGCTAATTCATCCCTTTGGCCTTTAGCATTACAATTTCATTTTCAAACTTTGGTTAAAGTAGATGGGGGATTATTGTGCTTGCCTTTACATTTTGGGTTGAGAATGAAAAGTATGACTGTGGTTCCTGGTTAATATTTCATGTATGGTATTTTAATTACCAGGTCAGGCTAATTCATCCCTTTGGCCTTTAGCATTACAATTTCATTTTCAAACTTTGGTTAAAGTAATCAATGTACACACACACACACACACACACACACACACACACACACACGTGCACTTCAAGGTGCAAAAATGCGGTAGCAGAACAGGAAATGACTAGACTCTTTTTAATTACCTCATTCATAATGTAAAGTGGTAAGAGAAGAGCAAAAAAGGTCAGGATATAGTAAATATAAAATTTAAATCTCTAAACTTTACTTTTTTTATTGTAACAGCTAAAGCCAATGAAAATAAACATGTATTCCATTATGTTAACACCCTTATGGATTATTTTTAATATCTTATTTGCAATTTCATGCAATTTTGGTATAATCTCATCTATGCATTAGCCTGGGGAGGGGCGTTTGCTTTAGGTAATTGACATTATATAGTCCAAAGCACAGAAAAAAGAA